ACACCCATGTCTAAAAAGAGCAATGCAATCCTACTAATTATTCATGAAAGCAAAATGAGCACAAGTGTACTGTATTTGTAATGACAGTAATAACTAGGTTCTGCTGCTGGCAGATAGAAATTAGCAGGATTCCCTTGAGAGCTGAACAATAGCTACTCTTCTTATTCTTAAGTTTAATATTTTTTTCCCAGAATCTGTGTAAAAATCATGAGATAATATTAACTTTTTCAGACTTAAATAGACAGATGGTTTTTTTTCTCCCTCAGAAATAAATGAAAACACATTTTCCCTGGTCATTTTTTTTCTGATGCTGGAGGGAAATGGTGGAGAAAGGGAGTAAAGGAAACTCAGAGGAGCCTGGAAGCTGCCATTTTGGAATGCTTGTGTAATTTTCTTTGAGTCTCCTTGATGATTTATATAAGCAGAATTATTTTCATGCCAAAGTGTTTTCAGAACACAGTCAAAGGATTGAGTCTTTGATATCCCCAGTGGTACAGTACCCTGCACAGAGGTCTTAGTTTTATGCCAAATTTTTATCATTTTAATGTTAGCGTAGTAACAAATTACTCTGAAAAAAAATTTTGACCATTGCTGGAATATAATTTTAAACCCAAACCAATAATTACCATTTTTAGCAACAAAAAAAAACAGCTTCTGACAACAGTTATTGTCCTTCTGTTACCTCCTTTAAGAAGCATATTTCACAAAGCTTGTTGATAATGATTTAGTAGCTATTGAATAATTTAAAGTTTCCTGCTTAAATGAGACAGAAAATGGATGCTGACCTTCACGCTCTCTAACATTACACGTGGCATAGCTGGAGGGCTTTACTACTGTTATCGCTTAAGAAATGCCCAGCTGAACAACAGTCCTGTGCTGTGCCATGAAATCTGATGGATTTAGTTTCTGCTTTTGTCAGCAGCAAGTTCAGAGGGCACTGAGTTCTGCTGCTGAACAGCCTTCCTTTCAGTAGAAGGGGCAGCCCAGGGAAAGAGCCAGGATGCTGCTACTGAGCCTGCCCTTTTCTTTGGTGCTGCAAAGAAATGAGCACTACACTGCACAGCGTGTTGAAGTGCCCGGCAAAGCTGTAGTTCAGCCTTTTTGCTTATTGAAATGAATAAGCAGGTAAATGCAAACATATTAGCATGTTAATGTACTTACTAGGTCTTGCCTGAGAGCTAATCTTTGTTAGCTATACTCTTATGGATTTTTTTAATGTCTTCTACCATTTTAAATAGCCAAACCTGATATAAAAATAGATTGTCTTCTTGTTTTTCAGCCTTACATTTTCCTGTGATGGGCATCACTTGTTCACAGCTAATAGTGATGGAAATGTTATAGCTTGGTGTCGCAAGGACCAGCAGCGCTTGAAGTTACCCATGTTCTATTCATTCCTGAGCAGCTACGCGGCTGGGTGATGACTATTTTTGCTGCTAACTCATGTCTCTGCACTTTAAATCCAAAATAGATCATAGAATCTCATATTTAACTGGATTTTGAAGTCCTTTGAATGTCTCTAGAATGACTGACCAGGTTTTTATAAAGATCAGTCTAAGGTGGTTGTAAAATTGCATAAGTGCATGCACAAACCTGAAGCATATCCAGGTCACCAGGAAGCTCTGGTCATATACTCCAATACCAGCAAAGTGACTCATAAATGCTCTAACATACAAGTCAAAATGCTGCAATATAAAACATAATAGTACTTTTTTAATCACTTCTTGGACAGAAGTATTAAAAAAAATGATAATGCTTATTCCCCCTCTTATGTTGTAAAATATCAGCAGTGTAAAGTTCTGTAAATATCTATTAAAATGTCAGCATATGTATATCTGATTAGTTGAGTGTGGGATAGTTAGCTCTGGGATAAGCAACCCAAAATTTAAAAATCCAAGACCACTTAAAATTGCTTTTTTTGAGAAGCAAAAAACTTAGTAGGTGCTTTTTGCACCATTTTATGGTATTATAATGCTAAAAAATTAACTTCCGTTATCTTTATATTTGTAACTTTTGCCATCTTCTCTGTTAGTGTAATAGTCTTTACAAAAGGCAAAAATAAAATACGTGTCTTAGTGATGGGTGGATACCTCCTGGCATCATGAAGCAATAGTTAGATCATGTTTTGTTTTGTTTTTTTTTTAATGTAGTGTTAACTCCCTAACTTTGTAACAACCAGCTATTGCAATTCTGTGGCAGAATATATATATATTATGTACACACACAGCTTATCTTCCAGAGCGCTAAAAAAAGGTGATAAAGGCAGCACAGATGTGTGCCTGTTCTAGTTTCATTGAAGCTCAATACACTGTAAAATGTTTGAATCTAACTGCTTGAATAATCAATGTTCATAGGCATCAGATGATTTGGAAAAGAGTTTACACAGATACACTGTGCAAATACGTTATTTATTCCTAGGTGCTATTTTTGAGGGGAGAAAAAATAAGCCTCGTTTGTGAAAGGCTTAAATCTGAATTCTTAAGCCAGATCAAAAATTAACATTTCAGTTGATGGATTTGAAGACCTCTAAACCTGACTCAGTGAGTGAGTGCCTACTAGTCATGCGAGTGGTAAAACAAGAATGCTACACAAGTCTGATGCACTTACATTTTTCATTTAAATTGCTTTGCTTTTTCATCTGACACGTTCCGCTATTGCCATACAGATGAACTGCTGTATCTTCTCATGTTTAAGGTTCATCTGCCTTCAAAACACTTATATGAAACTGTCAAGTTGTGATGAAGATGACATACTTACAAGAAATCTTTATACTTCTTTTGAAAATTCCAGTCTTTGGAAATTCTTGAAACTTTGTGATTGAAGAAGTTTTCAAACTAGAAAACTTAAGAAAAATATTCTCCTAGTCCATGACACACAGGCTGATCTTTGATTCAATTAAGCAAATGACTACATACTGTATGAACTGAGTTTTCAACTGCATATATTGTAGCAGCATTGTATGGGATGGCTTTAGTCATGTTTTTCACTGTCTAGATGTTAATGTAAGGTCCAAATACAGACTGAAAAGCTTCCTGGCTCATGTTTAAGTGATGTGCTTTATTTAAAGGAAAGAAATACAAATATTGTGGTTTTGGGGTGCTTTTGTGCTCCCTGGTTTTGGGATGTTGCTCACAAAGGCTTATTTTTATAAAGTAGAATTCCATTTGTTAAAAATCAATATGCAAAATTGCTGGCCTTGTAAAGAGTGCAATATTATATATTTTTATGTAAAAGTAAAATGATTTTTTGAAGTAAGGAATATTTATTCAGCTTAACATTCTGGAACTATTAAAACAACATTGCAATAGTATCTGTGCATGATGTACTGAAATTTCCTGTAAATGTCACATTTCACACTGTCTTTGTATATACACTGTCACATTGTTGGGTAATAAACAGATCTTTGTATCAAATTCTTTGATATTATTGGAAACATGGTTTTTGCTTAGTTTTGTCTCTATTTTTAGGGATCTTGCATACCTTACTCCAAATCAATTTCTGCTGGTTCTTATGCCTCATATTTCCAAAATTATGAAGTGGGGAAGTTTTGTTTATAACCTACATCATGTAGCTGCCCAACGGATTGGGGGGTACAAGACTGGCAGTGGGGAAGCCCAAAGGGGTATCACTTTGCACGTGTGTGGATGTGCCCTTCCTTCCCATGGGATGTGGCTACAGTTCAGGTGTGGTGATGTCTCAGAGATGTTCCCCTTCCCAACACCCTCCTCCCTGAAAGCCTAATGGAGCTAAGGCAAGGCAGAAATGCAGCTCTGCTCTGGGTTCTCTGAGGGAAGGAATTAAAAGGTGCTGGGTGGAAATCAAAGACTGGGATCTCTGGGAGGCTTCTGACAGGATGCAAGGCTCTTCCTCTTGGAAGCCAGGGTTTGGGAGAGGTTCATGGGGCAAGGTCTATCTGATAGCACTTGTGGGATTCTTGTGGGACGGTTAAGTTTCTGGATGAGTTTCTGGAACTCTGGTTAAGGTAAGCTTATGAACTTAACATTTGTATTAGTATCTTCCTGTTGCATTTCCTTCTCCCAAGCCACCACTGGTCTTTGGTGAGGCTGTCCTTGCGCCAAAGCACCTTTAATGATGGGGCTCTTCCCTATTCTCTTCTGTATAGAAAATAAATGTGACTTGGAAATGCTTCTGCTTTATTAAGATGGAATTGAGGAAAAAATGCTGATAGCCAGATAAGAGGATAGGGTGACAAATGTACATCCCTCCAGAAGGAGAAGCCACCTTTATTGGGGAACAAAGTTAATGAGATTGTGGTGATGATACTCCTGCCAACATGTTAATTAGTGGGGCTGACAATTTTTTTTCAGTTAAAAATGTTAATTGGCAGGTTAACTGCCACTGACCTTTATGACTGTCAAAGTTGTAAGGCAGAAGTATATAAAAATCGATCTATAAAGCTGAATTGTTTTATTCTGACTACTAGCTTTGACAAGGTGATCCTTGGCAGTTGCTTTTTAACTTCAGTTAAAAAGTGGCAGTGGGTTTTTAACTTCATCCTTCCTCTGGCCAGTGTGAGGAAGGGTGAGGCGGGACGGGACGGCGCCTCAGGCGCCCCTCACAGCCAGGGCCGGCTTCCCGCGGCTCGCGCGCGGCTGACAGCCGTTGGCCGTGAGGGGCCGCGCGGGAAGGCCCGCGCCGCGGGAGGCGCGAGGGCGGTGGCAGCCGTTGTCCGCGGCCGCCCCGCCCCGCCTCCTCAGCGCCGGCCAT